TTGGAGAGGAATGCCTTCGATTAACTGGTTGCTGACCTGTGAGGAGTGAAGGCCCCGACCCTCCAGGGCAGACCCCCCTATCAATACCCTGTCCTCAAGGTACCTGCATGTGGCCTGGCAGGGGGTGTACCCCCTGGAAGCTGTCTCTGTGTGTGCTGGGGAAGGGAGTGGTCTGGCACCACACATGGCTTTCAGCCTTTTGGACTATAACTGAACAGTTTACTGCAGGTTGCACCAGGGGATGTGTGAGGGCAAGACCTCAGGGCTGTGCTAGCTCCTTTCCCATTACAAATGGCCATGGTCCTGTGCTAGAAATGCTACCTCCTGCATGGGAACACACCAGGAACACGCTGTCTCCAGTGTGTCATTCTTTTGGCATATCTATAGTTGCTGTTGGTTTTCTTGACTTGCTTCTTCCCCTGCCCCTGCTCTCCCACGGAAATGTTTCTGCACATTGCCATGGTGTAAGGAATCCAGCAGGAGGTGCCCTGGCCCCTCTTCTCCAGGCAAAGACAATTTGCTTAACCAAATGCACACACCACTGCCAGCGCCTAAGGCTGACCGCTGTCATGGGGTTTCTGCAGCGTCGCGCTCATGAAAGGTTTCTGCAGCATCACACCAATGCTGTATCAACCCTGAAGGTTTCCTTAGGCCAAGCGGGTTTTGCCTTGTGCCAATAGCAGCCTCGTGTGGGTCCAGTGGCAGCATTATAGGCAGAGGCTGGTGGCCTGCTTCTGGGGGTTGGTGGCAGGTGGGGTGATTTTGTGGCAGAAGGCAAGGAATCTGAGCCTTTCTATGACCGGATTCAGCTTGTCCCTTGCTGGTGTGGGTGGCAGGGAGGCAGGCAGTCAAGGGAAAGAAACCGCGGGTTCAAAGCATGCAGGTCTTATGGTGCAGAGGGCTGGTGGAAGTCAGCCAGGCCCTCTTCTGTGGCAGGCTCTGGCTTTCCCAGGGACTTCCTTGGCTTTGTGAGTACCAGGAAGCCCCGTAGTGAACTCTGCTCCCTGGGGCATTCCCTCGCCCTGCAATGTGGCGTGGCTGCTGGGCACGTCTGAGTCACAGGGCTGCGAATCCTTCACCCAGTCTTAGCCTGCTAGGCTGGAGCAGCCCTAGTGCCTTAAAGGCATCCACGTCGCTCAGCCCAGCTCTCGGGGCCATCAGGCTGGTTCCTCCCTTTGTGCAAGGCCCTGAGTGCTGCTGTTCCAGCAGTGCTGGGTTGGGGGGCCCCTCCAGCACCATGCCGCTCCAGCCCTTCACTCTGCACTACCTCAGAGGTAAGCTGCAGCACCAGAGCCAAGTTTTACCTAACTAGCACAGGTCAAGTCATAGCAGCATGGTTCCCGGTGGCAGGCACTCAGCTGTGTCTTGGCCACATCTCAGGTGTTCGTGGTACCTGCGCTGCCTCGCTTGCAGCCACCGGGGATGCTTGTAGGTGCTCCAGACTCACTACCAACCCCCTAGTTAGAGGGTAGTGCTGCTGCCTGGGCACCCCTTCCAAGGACATCACACATGAGGCGACTCTGGCACACGAGGCGACTGGCACACGTGTGGTGCCAGATCCTGTAACAGCCCAGCTTATGGCAATGCCACTTTTATTATCCTGGCATCTCCGAAGGGCTGGAGCATGGCCCTGCCCTGGATTCCAGGGGAGGGGAGGGGGGGCCTGGCACCACAGGACACTCCAGCAGCAGAGCGGGTGGCTCACGTGTTGGACCGCACAATGGCTGCTCTCACTCGAGCAGGCCCGGACTGGGTGAGGGCAGTAACCTGAGCTCGCTGCTCTTGTGAAGAAAAGCTCGGGGAGGTTCTCCATGTCCCAGAGTCAGAGTGCGTCATGCGTGTGCTCCGCACGACACGGGTCCTGCTGCAGTCCACGTAACCTGCTCCCTGAGGACACCTGGGAGCTCTCTAGGATGCTGCACTGTTGCATGGAAGCCATTTGGGAGCAGATATGGGATGGCCGGAGGCTGCTTGAGGTGGCCCTTCCCTTCTCTCCCCCTGCCCCAGGAGCCTTCCCTGGGGTAGGGATGTCACTGGAAGGAGAGGCCAGTTAGGGCACCTGCCAGGGCTGCATGGCACTGCAGGCTGTGCTGTGCAAATCCTTCCTCCTGGAAATCCCTCCTCTGCCCCAGCTTCCCTTCCAAGCTGGTTCCCCTGCTCGGTGGTGCCAAGGACCAGAGAGCAGTCCCCCACCCGGACTGTGCTGGCTCTCCCCTGTGTGTCCAAGGCAGGTGTTGCATGACCGTGTTCAGCTGGTTTTCAGGCCTGGCTGATGGTCCCAGGTGTGGAGCAGGCCTGCAGCCGCCCTGGGAGCATCCACGCTAGTGCAGTGTTGCTGGAGACCCTGTACTGCTCATCTTAATGTGGCTGTAGGCAGAGTGAGCCTCGGGGCAGGGAGAAAGCAGCTGAGGAAGGCCCGGCGTTACCCCATTTCCTTCAGCAGCAGGAAGGGCGGTGGTTGTGGTGACGGAGGAGCTCTGGACACTGCTCAAGAAGGAAGTGGCCAGAGGTGCCCACAGTAGGTCCAGCTGGAGGAGCGACCACTTGCATTATCCTGGTATATCTAGGGGAACCAAGCATGCTGTCAGCCTCAGTGCAGGTCAGTGCCCAACTGGGTGTGTTGTAGGGAGAAAGCACAGGCCTTGGGCAGTGGACACAGGTGCAAAGCCAGGGAGCAAAGTTGAAGGCAGGTCAGCGTGGTTGGGCACAGAGCTGGGCAGGGCATGGACAGGCAGGAAATCAGACCCAAAGAGCTGGCGATGCACTGCACAGGGCTGGTGCGAGGGCCTGCCTCACTGCCCCACGCTGCTTGTTGTCTGGACAGTCAGCTGCCACCGCCCAGGGGTGGAAGCCAGGATCAGCTGGAACAAACTAAAGGAAAACCGTGAGATAACAGCCACGGCTGGCCTGGCCAAGCTGTTTCCATCGGGCAATCTCATCCCTTCCTGGCTGGAGCTGTGTAATAGGTCTGCACTGCTCTTCCCCCACCAGCACCAGGGCTGAATCCTTGCTTCCTAGCTGTAAATCCCCACGCATCCAGAGCAGGGTGGAAATATTCCCCTCTCCGCTCAGGCGAGCAACCTCCAGTCCCAGCACCACTTAATACCCAGCTTCTCTTCTCACTCTCTGCCCTGACTGGCCAGGCCCTTCCTGAACCTCTGCTCTGCAGGATGCTGGCTCAGCTCCCTGGCTGGCAATGTGCTGCCTGCAGATGTTCAAGACACTTGTGAACGGGGAGATGGGCGATGCGATGAAGGCAGGGTCTTTGCTCCAGCTGGCTCCTGCTACATACCCCTTCAGAGGCAGTAGGGACACGAGAAGAGATGCAGGAGTAAGGTGGGGGTGGATCATGCGTGGGTGGCAGGCAGGTCCCCAGGATGAAAGGTACAAAGCCAGGCTCCAATGTGAGCAGTCGCGGGGGCAGAGGGGTGCGTCTCAGCCTAGTGCCATGCCCAGGCCCAGCACAGTGGGCCCTGGGGACTACCGGCTACAGGGCAGGGCTCAAGCAGGCTGTGGCAAGACTTGCATGGCTGTTTCTAGAGCTGCCTTTGCCCAACAGAGGGACCAGTGGGCCTGACGCAGCAAGATGCTGACCCCCTGCTGCCAAGCAGGCCCTGCCTAGGGGCACGTGTGTGCGGGAGATATGTGCCTGCCTGTGTACCCATGCCTGTTGCTGTGTGTACCCATGCTGTGTGTGCATGTGTGAGAGCGCCCAGCCTGAGCCTGTGTGTGTATGTGCACCCATCAGTGTGTGCTCAACCCATGTGTGTGTGTGCATGCTCATCAATGTGTTTGTGCCCATCAGTGTGTGCACACGTCTATGTGTGAGCCCAACCTGTGTGTTTGTGCCCATCAGTGTGTGTGTGCATGCGTGCATGCCCATCAGTGTGTGAGCCCAACCTGTGTGCCCACCAGTGAATGTGTGCGCATGTGCATGCCCATCAGTGTATGAGCCCAACCTGTGTGCCCATCAGTGTGTGTGCATGTCCATCAATGCTTGTGCCCATCAGTGTGTCTATGTGTGCATGCACATGTCTGTCAGTATGTGTGAGCCCAACCTGTGTGTGTATTTGTGCCCTTTAGTGTGTGTGTGGGCTCGTGCACGCCCATCACTATGTGTGTGTGTGTGTGTGTGCCCACCAGTGTGCATGTGCGAGTCCAACCTGCATGCATGTGTGAGTGAGCCCAGCCCGTGTGCGTGTGTGTGAGAGAGAGAGAGAACCAAGCCTTTGTGGGTGTGAGCCCAGCCCGTGTCTGAGCCCAGCCGTGCGCGTGTGTGTACGCACACCCATCAGTGGCACGGAATGGGGGGGGGGTGCGCACACGTGACCATCAGTGTGTGCATGTGCAAAAGCCCCACCCACGTGCGTGTGCCCATCAGTGTGCAAGTGTGAGCCCAGCCCCTACGTGCGAGCGAGGGAGA